GGGAGAGGACGAGGAGAAGAGGGGTGGACTTATTTCTAATTTTATCTGACTTATTTAATTTAATTTTTATTGTTTTTATTGTCCTGCAGGCTCTGATGGAAAATTAATTTGAAGCTGAGATTTTTTTTTATAAAAATCGTTAGATTACTCTAGGGAAAATCTGTGTCAATTACAGATATTCTGTTCACGTGAGCAGCTGTCAGTCAGCACCTGTCAACTTCCAGACACACAACGGAGCGTGTCTGAACCAATCACTTTTGTTGACATTGAGGTACTTTACATTGACTGTTTATGGTTGAGTGTGGGCGTGTAGAGGATAGAACCTGAGGGGGGACCTCGTGCGCAAACTCTGACGTGAGGCTGGGATTTATAAAGGAAAGATGCGCAGAAATGTGCGTACGCACGGTTTTATAAATCTGAATTTTTTTTTTGGCATACGCCATTCCCGTCTTTTGGCCGTACGTTCACTTTGAGTATGGTTTCCACGCAATCCTTTATAAATGAGACCCCAGATTATTTCCAAAATGAAGTAATTTCTGATTTTTTTTTTTTTTTTGCTTACAGATCTAAATTTCTTCTCTTTCCTCCAAGGTGACAATCAGGTAAATAAACTAAGACACTTGTCATTTTGCTGTTATATTTCATTTTGCATCCCTTCATTGTAGTTAATATGTTTAAAGAAGAAAAACGTTTTTACAGAGAAAATAAGACTTTAAAGTTGTGTCTCACACTCTACTGGTAGCTAATAGGTTACAATAGGAAGTTTTATAATGATTTATAATCACATGTGTGCATGAAAGAGTGCGTCACACACAAAAACTTTGAGACAATTTCGAGTCACCAAGTTTCCCTGTTAACTAACAGTATGTCTTCTTCACGTTAGCATTACAACATGGTGATGGCTGCTGCAGCGGCGGCGTCAGCTTCTGCTCCAGAGGACCACGACCTGCTTCTCAACCGTTACCTGCCCTACGGCTCCTCACCGATGCTACGGGAGCAGCCGGGCACCCCTGGGGGCAGCACCCTGGCAACAACTAACGGAGGCAGCAACAGCGGCAGCACCAGTAGTTTGGTGTCTTCCAGCAGCTTACGAGACCGCGACAAAGACAGAGACAGAGACACCCACAGCATTTCAGGATTGTCGAGGTCCTCCATGGAAGCAGCAGCAGCTGCGGCCATTTATGGCTCCATATCTGACGTTATCTCTCTTGACTAGATCCACACCGAACTGAAGCACAAGGGAGACCCCGACAGGAGTTCTTTGTAAATAGTGAAGTGGAAGACGAAAGATTAAAGTGCTATGTACAGAGAGGAAAATCTATTTTCAATTTTACTTATCATATGTATATAAACTTGGGACGCTTCTTGTCCAGTGCGTTACTTCCGTTGATATTTTTCTGTGAATACTGAAGACTTTTTCACACCTCTTCATGTGGTCCTTTGATTATATTGTAGCTTTTGTACCTGGTTTTTACTATTTTGTTTGGATATTTTATGTCAGTAGCATTATTTCAGCATACATGCACAGTCCCTAGTGAGGCGACACCTTTTGGGACATATTTAGAATATAAAGAAAATGGGGCTTGATGTGTTAAAAAGCAACTGGGAGCAAAATGTACACAAACAAAAAAAAACAATGTATACATTTTTCTTTATGTCCTAAATGGCATTTCTGCCATGATGTTTTGACAGCAGAACGATCTGGCCATTTTTGCCATCATGTAGATTTATTTTTTCTAAAATATTCATGCTGTGGTTGTTATTTTTTAAATAATTATTTATGATCTAAGTTATATTGGGTGTGAGCACACTCTTTGCCTGTTGGAACTGTTGCCACTATAAATGCAGAAGCAAGTGTGAGATCCTTCTGTTGTCATAACTGTGCTCTATGTCTTCTTGCTTATATTAGTTGATTCAATTATTAATATTTTACTCCTCAGGCTGGATGTAAGCTACATGAGTTGGGAGTTAGTCAGTATTGAATGATCAGCTTTTTTCTGTGTGTGAATGAAGGGCATTGGTCCAGCAAGCACCCGCAATTGGACCTTTTATATACAGTAGATCTATATATCGAAATTTGAAAAACTTATTACTTTTCTTGGAATGTATAGCCTGTTTATTTTGTCATTTAAACAGAATGACCAGTCGACAAATTTCTGCTCCACGTTCAAAATATGGCTAGTTTCTGGTCTAATTGAAGTTAATCTATTAATCGAAAGGCTACAACTGTTCACCCAAATTAAATGAGTTGATTTCATTTCATTATGTTTAATTGTAACGTTTGCTTTTTTTTTCTTTTTCTTTTTTTTTTATCTGTGGCGCAGCGAAGCATTACAGTTCACATTTACAGTAGTTTCGGCTTTCTATGTTTGCCAGTTACCTGAGAATTCACCTATTTGGGAGCTGTGCTGTCTGTAGCCACAGGATGCGTAGCCTTTTTTTGTGGTGTTTAATGTATTTGCCACAGCCTTTAAGATAACTGTGATAGCTTAGGCTTTGTGAATCACAAATTGCATTTTGGCCCAGAGGTTGCAAATCATTTGAGTTTAATTTTGAATGCATCATTTTCTTGATTTTGTTTTCCTTTCTTCATTTTTAGACTTGTTCTTATAATTAGGATTATTTATTACCATATATATTATTTTTCCTTGGTTTGATTTGTGACTATACATTGTTGTCATTGTATGTGATATTTCTTTTGTAATTATATAATTATTGCTATTTAAATATGTCACTGTTGCTTGACATGCATTGTAACATTTTTAGTTTGTCTGTTTGCTATCAGATATTGTCAATAACTCAATAGAGGCTTTCATCACGTTTGAAAAGCTAGAAGGTCTACTGTCCTAATTGATATGTAAAAGAATTAAACCCATACACAAAATGAGTCTTTGTAGACCTAGTTGTTCTGAGAAAATCTTGGTTTTATTTCTACAAGTCATTATATTACAAGATGCAAGGAATGTTTAACAAATCAGTAAAGCAGCATCCTAATTACAGGCTTAGTCCATAGTGACTGAAGTTAGTTAAATTTTGTAAAGGTGATTATTTAAATGTTGCATTGCAAAAATGTCTAATTTCTTAGATATTGTTTTTGATCATTAAATGAAGAAACATGCTTTTTTTTCAAGAGTTTAATCGCATACGTTGATTTAGCTCATTTTTGTCATCTAAATAAATACCAAAATAAATCTGCAGGACGTCCAGTTAACAGCCCTGTTGTTCCGCATCTTGACCAGACAGGGGCAGTAGTGTTCACTAACGTTACTATCCAACTACAAAGAAACGATGAAGAAGAAAATATGACATTAGATAGCGGCGCCGTTGTGAATTGGAATGGGACCTGGCGATTTTCCCCATATTTTGATAGTTTAATCCATGAATGGCGCCGAAACAGGACCCGAAACCTAAATTTCAAGAAGGTAGCTACATGTTTGCCATTGGTTCCGTTGGATGTGTGATATCTGCAGCTGCTGAGGGTGCTTGAAATGCTCCAAGATGCTAGCTAAAACCACAAACACCGCGATGCAGTGGAGCGACGGCTAGCGGTGTTAGCTCACATTGTTATGACGAGTTGAGAAAATAAAATGTGTTTTTATCAGTTTTGTTTGCACATTTAGTGTCGGTTTAGTCTTGTGTTTGCTGCTCACTTCCGCGCCTTTTATAAAATGTGCTGTATTTGAATTAGCGACGTCTTCTCATTCACAGAGACGGATTTCACCGCCTCATTCAGTTTGTTATTGAGCTATTAGCCAAGTCTTTGCTAATTATCAAATCTACACATTTTATGAGTTTTGAAGTATTTATGCATACAAGTACTGTTGTAGTGTTTTATTATTTAAAGGTTACCGAATGAACAGGCAAGTTTTCATCACCTAACATCCACACATTTAGTCAAGTGAAGTGTTTACTGGGCAAAAGGCTCAGTTAATTCCCTTTTTAAAAAGACTGATGGTACAATTTCTGCAGGTCTAAAGAGATTTTTAAACATTGAACGAGTCAAATATCCTAATCATTTAATGTGGTCCTGAAAATTAGTTATTCTCCTTTTCTAAACGTATTTCTAAGTTGTTCTTTGGATTTGGCTTCTTTTTCCCCAGTAATGTTCTGTTCTGTTCTTGGAATTAGAAACAGACTTTTTTTTTATTTTGATGAGAAATATAAAGAATTAATAAGTGGTTTGACACTTTTTCAATGATCTGCCTGAGTTTGAGATTGCAGTATGACCTGTGAACCTGAAAGTCAGACATAAGGCAAAAATAGATTTCAATTTGCATTTAATTTTCCTGTTCAGTCACAAATGTGCCTGTCTCAGACTAATCCATCTGCTCTTCTCTCAGGTGAAAGAGTGCTGTGTTTTCATGGGCCATTGCTTTACGAAGCTAAGGTAGGCTGCCCATCTCTTTGAACACAGTGTTCCACTATCTGTCACATATTTTTAATGATGAATTGTGCTTTTGTTTGCAGTGTGTTAAGATAAATATCAAAGACAAACAGATCAAATACTTTATTCATTACAGCGGTTGGAATAAGAAGTAAGCTTTTGATTTAGACAAAATATGAACTATATATTTATGTAGTTTTCTCAAGGGTTTACATTCATTCTTTGTGGGTTTTTTTTTTTCAACTTCTAGCTGGGACGAATGGGTTCCTGAAAGCAGAGTGCTTAAGTATGTGGACAGCAATCTTCAGAAACAGAAAGAGCTTCAGAGGGCCAATCAGTAAGTTCAGTTTTATCAAAGCTGTCCAGTCTACTAAGTCAAATTAAAATTGCATTTGTAAACGTCCAGAAAACAGATTGACTTACCTAGTGTAAATAACGTACTTTTCAGTGGCTGGTCTTATTATTTTCTCAATTCAGAGACCATTATGTAGAAGGGAGAATGAGGGGTGCTGCACCGAATAAGAAGATACCCCCTGCATCGCAGAAAAATGATGTGTGAGTGATCTGTTTGTCATTGCACACCATCAAACGACTTCTGAAATTATTCTTATATGAACAAATTTCTTCTGTTTTAGGAAAGCAAAAAAGAACAAACAGAAAGGTGACTGTCATTTTTTATTATCATAGATCATATTAAAATGAATTAACCTGCTCATTTAGCATTCCTGTATTCTAGTCTTTTTTTTATTTTTTTGTCCCCATTATCTAAAACAACAACATATTAAAGTATGTTTGTGTGTGCAGCTCCTGGAGCAGGAGAAGGGACAAGTTCAGGAGGGGATCCAACCCACCCTCCACGTAAGAAGAGAGCACGAGTCGACCCAACTGTTGAAAGTGTAAGTCCAGGCAGGCGCTTAAAGCAAAAGGTCCTCTGGTTTATGAGTTGATAAATATTCTTCTACATTGAAAGAAACTCAAATGCTGAAAATGTCTTGTATGGCAGAAAGCATGTCAGTGTGTTGTTAAGTCATTTTTATCCTCTCTGTTTAGGAGGAAACATTTATAAACCGTGTCGAGGTCAAAGTGAAAATCCCAGAGGAGCTGAAACCATGGCTCGTGGATGACTGGGACCTGATTACACGTCAAAAACAAGTAACAAATCAACCTTTTATTGTCATCTTGTTTACATTATTTTAATTATTAACGCCTGTATGTAAACCTGAAATGTCATTTGTCAAGATACTCACAACATGCATACCTTAATTTTGTTTGTGTCTTCAGCTTAATTTTGTTTGTGTCTTCAGCTTTTCCATCTACCAGCTAAAAAGAATGTTGATTCCATTCTGGAAGATTATGCAAACTACAAGAAATCAAGAGGAAATTCTGACAGCAAGTAATTACACCATCTTGTTATTAACTTTTAAAAGAGACAGATTGTGCAAAATCCACTTTTTAGCTGTCAAATACATTTTGTTGTGTACTTGGAGTCTCTAGGAGTGCAGAAAAGTTTATTTTAGTGTTCCTGGTGCTGCGTAGACAGTTTTATATTCTAATTGGGTCATTTTTTTAACCTGTTCAGTTTTCTTTATTTTCTATGATGTTTTTTTTTTGAACTATGACATATGTCAAATTATTTGTGACCGAACTGCTAAATAAGGTCTGGACTTACCAACTATGATTTGGTTGTCTTCATTCTCCTCTGGTTCCAACATATAGGGCTGGATGGACAAGTCTTCTGTTGACATCTTTTAATTAATTTGTAAATAACTGGAAGCTGGAGGGGGCGGGGCCTGAAGCACCTTGTTTAAATTTAAAGAGACAGCCTCAAAACGAGTTGATCTGAGACACACCTCTGAAAAGGGGGTGAAAGAGGGGCTTGTGGAGTTACAATATAAAGGAATTCAGACCAAAGCATTGCAGTTCCACTTTATATAGACCCCAGTTGAATGATTTAAATGTGAAAAAGAAGRATTTAAAAGCATTATGTGTTCACTTTAGGAAACTTTTATAGATGTCATAGAGATGGCTGAAAAAGTTCTCATTATGACTGTTTGTTCCATTGAGATGTAATTTGTTTTCTTCTTCTTTTGATTGTTCAGAGAGTTTGCTGTAAATGAGGTGGTTGCTGGTATCCGTGAATATTTCAACGTCATGCTGGGGACGCAGCTTCTTTACAAATTTGAGAGGCCACAATACGCGGACATCCTGGCCAACCATCCAGATACACAGATGTCTCAGATTTATGGCGCTCCTCACCTACTCAGACTTTTTGGTAAAAAAGAAAAAAAATTGCCATAATTGTGTATTCATAGAACAAGACTACTGTGTTGTTTTAAAACAAATATTAACTATATAAATTATTTAAAACTATATTTAAGAACATTATTAAGAACTATAGGGTCTGTGTACTTTTTGGTCATTTTTTATTTTAAAAACAGATACTGGAAAAACAACAAAAAAAACTTATTGTATTTCCATTTTATACCTCCATAATTTTTCTCAAATCGGACATTTAACACTGAGGTTAACTAAGGTGGATCTAGTAAAAAAAAAACTATAATAACAGGTGGCTGCCTGTACATAAAGAAATAAACAAATTCTAGCTACTTTTTCCATTTCTCTAACTGCGAGCTGTGTTTATTATATAGCTAGTCTAGCTAATTTATTTAAAAATAATAATTTATCAGGCTCCACCTTAAATGGCCTGATAATAAGATGAATAAACACATTTTTCTGTATAGCTAACCAGGCAGCCACAGTAAATTAACACTAGCTAACTAGTTTTACATTTCATTTCATTTTACATTTTAATGTCAGCTGATAGTTTATAAACATCTCAATAAAATAAGTCTTCACTTGGTCACAGTTTAAGCCAAACAGTCCAGTTTGCTACAGCATTATTCTGTAACACATTAAAAGACAAACATCGACCAGAATAGACCTTCAAAATAAATAAACCACTATTGTAACTTTTGCTCTGTGCTGTCTCAAACACTTGAAAACTTGCTGGGATTAATTGTAAAAGTATTCTAGTCAAAAGTAAAACAAGGTCATTGGTGTTGTATGATGTAAAAGTCTGTCATTGTTTGGTTTTGAAAGTGAGAATCGGAGCCATGCTGGCGTACACTCCCCTGGATGAGAAGAGCCTCGCACTACTGCTCAGTTATCTACAAGACTTTCTCAAGTAAGTGTTAAAAAATCTTCCAGCAACTCTTTCGCACCGATCAATCAGAAAGACTTAAAGAAGTTCACCGTTGCTCCTCTCTAGGTATCTGGTGAAGAACTCGGCATCACTCTTCAATGCAAGTGACTATGAAGTTGCCCCTCCAGAGTATCACCGCAAGGCAGTTTAGAGTATTTTTTAAAAAAAGATCTAAAGTTTCTTTTTTTTTTCTTCTTTTTTGAGTTGAGGTTCTGATGAGGCTTTATTTGTCAAAAGGATGTGATTTCATCAGAACACCTTTGGGGAACAGATTTTTGAAGAACTGTGGAGATCCTGTTAT